GCAAGTTCATCAGTCCATTTCATGTTTTTGCTTTTTTTCCTCTGCGCTTGCAGTTTTTTTGACATAATTCTTTAATACTTATTGGTTCTTTATTTCCCATACCAAACCTTACTTTAGCAGATATGATAGGTTTTATAATCTTTCTTTCTAATTTTTCACGAGGTGTAGGATTAGGTATAGCATCCATTTGTTCAATCATTATTTTATCAGCTAAATTTCTATTCTCTTTATCTGTAAAATGTTTATAAGCAAGATCATGAATATAAGCTGTTTTATCAACTCTATCTACAGGCATGCTCCATTCTTTAGGCATCTCAGTCGAAGTTAATCTTTCATCTAAATTAGTACCAGGTCCTGCAAAGTTCATACCTGGTATATGCATTTCACCTGGAAACTTTTGCAAAGGTAATTTTCTATTACTTGTAAATTTATTAATAGATTCTACCAAATCACCTCCTTTTTGAGCTCCTTTTATAAATTGACATTTTCTTGTTCCGCAGATTGCACAATTTCCACATTGCATATTTCTTTTGTTTTTACTCACAGCATGTTGTAAGTTGAGTGTATCTGTTTTGTTTTTACATTTAACGCAATACATTTTTTATATATGTATTTTAATTTATTTAATTTAAAAAATACTTTTCGTAAATAAAAAATGGAAATTATAGATTTATCATGGAATGTAAATAAAAGTAAACGTCAAAATAATGAGTTATTACCTAAAAGTATAAGAGGGATTATTGTTGGAAAATCAGGTTGTGGAAAAACAACATTATTATTAAACTTGCTATTAAGACCTGGTTGGTTAGACTATAATAATTTACAAGTTTTTGGAAAATCTCTTTTTCAACCTGAATACAAAATATTAAAAAATTCTTTTGAAAATAAATTACCAAAAGAAGTTATTCTTAAACTATTTGAGTTGCAAGATCAAATAAATAAAAACAATGTAAATCCAGAGTTTGTTATTAAAGACATTTCAAGAAATTTAAAAGATAAAACAGATATAGAGTGTAAATTTTTTGAAACAGCAGAGGATGTACCAGAACCTGAAAGTCTCAACTCTATTAAAAATAATTTAATGATATTTAATGATTTACAATTACCAAAACAAAACAAGTGTGAAAAGTACTATATAAGAGGAAGACATAGCAATGTAGATTGTTTCTACTTGGCACAAAATTATTTTGAGTTGCCTAGGAGAACGATAAGAGAAAATGCAAATTTTATATGCTTGTTTAAACAAGATTCTAAAAATGTAAACCATATTTATAATGATCATGTTTCGAATGATATGAAATTAGATGAATTTAAAAAGTTTTGTAATGAAGCTTGGTCAAAAAAGCATGGATTTGTTGTTATAGATTTGTCTTCTGATTTATTAAATGGAAAGTATAGAAGTGGATTAGATTTATTTTATTATCCAACTTCTTTGTGGAATCGATAAATATATATTTTTTAAAAAATATATATTTTTTTTATGAAGACTTAAATAATCGAATTTAATAATTGTTTATTCTTAATTGGAGAATTTTCTGATAATAACAGACCTCTACCTACTGATGAATAATCATTTCCATTTCTTAAATAATACCCATTCGAATAATTTTCACTACCATTCCATGGGTTTAAAAATACTCCTTTTCCTACTTTTCTAATTTTTAATCCATAACCATTCTTTTTTCCATAAATAATATCATTCTTTTTCATATAATTAATACCTTTTCCAGCAATTTTATTAACTATAGCATTTCCAGCTGCTCCTGCTGCTCCTGCTAATGCTGCTGTTGCAGCAGTCTTTGCAATTACTGGAGCAGTACTTGCAAGTGCTCCAATTAATGCTAGAAAAGGTGAAAATCCACCACTTTTTTTAACATCATGTTTAAGTTGTGCTCTACTCAGTGAAAGTGTTATACCCTTATTTTTTAAATAGGCTGCTTTCATTCTGTTTATTTGTGACTCTGTTAAAGCTAATTTGTGTTCACCATTTAAATCTTCATATGATAGTTTTATACTTGCATTAGTACCAGATTCAATTGCGTTTTTAATTTTTTCACTCTGACTTGCTGACAGATTAATAAAAGTATCATGGTATATTGTCATTTTTTATATATAAAATAATTTTTTTAAATCGCTTTCTGTAATGCTTTATACTCATCATCATCTATTTGCCCCTGTCGTAACAACTCATCACAAATAGCAACAATCTCATTTCTTGTTCCAGTATTTCCTGCTTGTAAACCAGCTAAGCGTAATTTAAGCATATCAAATAGTGCATTTGGATCACTAGGAAGAATAACAACTCCTTTTCCATACTTTCCAATCATCTCTTCCCAAATAGGTTTTATTACATTAGTGTACTTATAACCTCTAGATGATTTTGGTTTAGCTAAATTTAAATCAGAGCGAATTGCATCTGTTTGATTTAAAATTTCTTTATACTTATTACGATCATCGTTAGTATATCTAACAGGATGAGATTTTACTATGATTTCCCAAAGGCCTGGTGTACCAATGTATTTTTTACCTTCAATGGTTATATCATCACCTTCAATAGTTATTGGTTTTTTACCAATGTAAAATTTTTTATCACTTTCATTGTAATGTATACCAAATATATCATCTGATACTTTTTTACTATTTTTAGCAGTATATAACTTTAGATATTCTGCTGCGATAGGTCCTAATCTCATGTTATCTACAACTTCAGGTGGCATGATTGCTTTAGTTTCAGAATCTAGTAAAGCAGGATAATTTGAAAAAGTATTTGCTATTTGATCAGCTTTATTTTCTAATTTAGATATACCTTCTTTTATTCCAGATTGACTATCAATTATTGGTTTGTACAACTTTTCCAAGTTAGTCTGTAAAGCATCATAGCCCAACTTTTCATTTACATCATCTTGATATATACTTTTCTTTAAACTAGCAAGTTCTTTTGCTATTTTTAATCTTGCATCAATATCTGTAGCTTTTGCATACATTTTTATATATGCAATAATTTTTTTAAATCACAATGTGATCCCTAGATCCCTAAAGGGATTTAAATCAACATATATTATGTTTTTAATACATAATATATGTTCAAATAATACATAATATATGTTCAAATAATACATAATATATGTTTTTTTAATTCTTAAGAGTATTATTCATCACTCCTATATTCTGATTTTTGTTAAATCTCATATTTAGCAATTCCATAGTTTCTTTCATTGCTTTCTCTTTACCTTGATTAATGAGTGACTCTTTAGTCTGTTCATCTATATCATTCTTAGATTTTGTTCTAATTTGTTCAGTCATAGCTTGAAACTTTTCAAGTTCTGAAAGTATCATATTAAATTCTGCATCATCAATATATTGATCTGATGTAGCTTTAGAAATAAGACTACTTATTGTATTTAGTTTTGCATCAGCTAGTACTTTAATCTTTTCATGCTTTTCTGCTTTTATTGTTAATTTTTTAATAGCTTGTGATCCTATTAGTGATAATACACCCATACCTAATGCTGCACCTTCACATGCAATAGCTACTGGTGTTCCAACTATTGTTGTTAAAAAACCAATACCAACAGCTCCTAATGTCATAGTAGTTGCAAGTAATGTATTATCAACTGCTGAAATGATTCTTACAGCTCTGTGATATTTTTTACTTAAAATCTCTCTTCTTTTCCTTTCACATTCTATTTTATCTTGAATTTCACTAATCTTTTGTAATCTAAAGTTATGATCTATAGATTGTGGTGGTGCAGATGGATTTTCTGAAAACTGGTTAAGATCTGGATAAAGCTGCTTACATTCATTATTATATCCATTATTACATAGCATTTTCTTTTTTCTATAAAGAAAAATTTGTTTTAAATCACTTTTGTTATCAATGCTTCGCTAAATCACTTTTTACCAAAATTAAATATATCTTCATCAGATTTATGTATACTAGGTTTATCTTTAATTACTTCTTCTATACTTGATAATAAAGATTTTACAGATTCTTTATCACTTTTCTGTTTAGTTCCTGAGTCATTTTGTTGTCTAATTTGTTCTTCTTTAACATGTTCTAAAGCATCTCTATGTGATATATAATTTGCATTTAAAACACCATTATAAGTTGATATACAACATAACAAATCTCCTTTTTTAATGTTTATATCTTTTTTATCGTTATTATATACAGTTATTTTAATATCGTCAGTAGACTCTGTTACAATAGAATTTAGTAAATTTAGTTCTGGTTTATAATTTTCTGCAATTGAAATCACTATATGTCCTTTATCTATTTCAACACCACACATTAAAGAAATGTTATTATATGAATTTGATTTTACTGTAAAATCTTCTTGTGCGAATACTTTAATATGTCTATCATTTATTGCTCTATGTTCTAAATCTGAATTAATATTAAAAGTTATTCTATATTGTTCATGCTTTTCATAATATAAAAACATTCTACTATTATACATTTTATAAATGTAAAGATTTTTTTTAAATCACTCTGTAATCCTCATATCTATTTTGTTTTTAAAGTTCTAGCAATATAATTTAAAATGCTTTCACCTTGATGTAAAAAATTACACTTTTTATTATCATTAACATTTTTATATAATAATATTTTTTCTCCTTTTTTATTTTTCTTTAATTTACTCTCTACTAATTTACATGGAGTATAATGACAAATTTCTACATTTTCTTCAATTTCTTTAAAAGAATGAGCATATTTGCAATTTATTTTTTTACATTCTTTTTTATCAAGAATATATTTACATAATTTAGTTTTAGCTTTTCTTAATTTTAATAATTCTGACTTTTTTGGATGAAATAAAACACACTCTTTATTCCTACATTTAGGATAATCATTGCAAATATGAATATGCCTATATTGACATGAAGATTTAGTGCATATTAGTCTTTCCTTTACAGTATTACAATAAGGAATATCATGATTGTATTTACATCTATTTTCAAAATGACAATAATTATCTTTTAAAATATTTTTACAGAAAATGGGTAGTTTCTCTACAAAATGAATTGTTGAAGGTTTTCCATCTTCAGTAAAATTAATATCTACATTAAATGGTTTTTCAAAACTAAATTTTCTTTTTTTGTAATGTTTTTTTGTTAAGAAACTATCTATAGCAGGATAATCATCATTAATAACATTATAAGTTGGAACATAATTAATCCATTTCAGCTTATCTTTATGCAGTTCCATGATTTGAACTGTTTTTAAAGGAATTGGAACTATAGGTTTTTCTTTAACTTCATCTTCATCATCAGATGTAAAATAAGTAGCTTCATCAGATGTATAATAAGTGTCATCTTCAGAATCTGATTCTTCAAATTCAAATTTTAATAATTCTTCAAAAAGTTTAAATTCTTTTTGAAATTCAGATATTTCATTAATTTCATCATCATTCATTTTTATTTTTTATTATTTGTAAAAATATTTTAAATCAAAAAAAATTGAAAATGAATTAAATAATTTTCTTTTATATATAAAAAGAATGGAAAACGAAATGCAAAATTCATTTTTAAAATCAATTGAACAAAGATTAAGATTAATTGAAGAAAAATTAAATATTATTAATATTCATGATATTGAAATGACTGAAGATTCTGAAGTTACTACAGTTACTACTACTGAAGTTACTGAAATTACAGAAACTACTGAATATGTTAATGAAGATGATGAAGATGAAGATGAAGATGATGAAGAAGATGAAGATGATGAAGATGATGAAAATGATGAAAATGATGAAGAAATATTAAAATATGTACATGAATTAGGGTATAAAAGTACAAAAGATGCTTTTGAAAATGCTGCTGAAAATGGAAATCTTGAAGTAATTAAACATTTACATAAATTAGGGTATAAAGGAAAAGGACTGGCACTTGATTGTGGATATGAATCAGGGTATAAAGTTACAGAATTAGCAATTGATAGCGCTGCAGAAAATGGTCACCTTGAAATGTTAAAATATTTACATGAATCAGGGTATAGAGGAACAGAATTAGCAATTGATAACGCTGCAGAAAATGGACATCTTAAAATATTAAAATATCTTCATAAAAACGGGTATAAAGGAGCAGAAGATGCAATTGATAATGCTGCAAGGAATGGACATCTTAAAGTATTAAAATATCTTCATAAAAACGGGTATAAAGGAACAGTACATGCATTTAATTGTGCAGTAAATAACCAGATAAGCGAAGCATCAGATAGTAACCTTGAAATTATTAAATATTTACATAAATTAGGGTATAAAGGTTCAAAATCGTTTTATAATTTAGCTGTAGAAAATGGATATATTTAATAATTTTGATACACGTAGTGACTATAAATTCTAGTAGTGATAAAGTTAAGCAATGTTTCACTACTACGCATAAGCGCTACTATGCTTAAGTAAATCTCAGAGCATGCGCATTAAAAAAATAAAAAAAATTTGAAAATGATTTAAATAATTTTCTTGTGTATATAAAAAAGAATGGAAGACGAAGAAAAAAAAATAAAAAAATAAAAATAATGTTATTAAAATATTAAAAGCAATTATTCGCGCTATAGAAAATGGTAACCTTGAACAAGTAAAATATTTGCATAAATTAAAGTATTATTATGAAGAATTAGCAATTAATTATGCTACTGAAAATTATGACTTTGAATTAGAGCAACAATTATATAAATTTAAGTATAAATATGAAAAATGTGCAATTAGTTCTGCTGCTATAAACGGTCACTTTGAAGTAGTAAAATATTTACTTGAAATTGGATATAAAGTTGATAAATTAGCAATTAGTTATGCTGCTATAAATAACCACTTTGAAATATTAAAATATTTACATGAATTAGGGTATGAATGTTATGATTGGACAATTGATTGTGTTGCTAAAAATGGTCACCTTGAAATATTAAAATATTTACATGAATTAGGATATAAAGGTACAGAAGATGCAATAGATAAAGCTGCTCGAAATGGTCACCTTGAAATGTTAAAATATTTACATGAATTAGGGTATAAAGGAATAAAAGATGCAATAGATAAAGCTGCTGAAAATGGTCACATTGAAATGTTAAAATATTTACATGAATTAGGGTATAAAGGAACAAAAGATGCAATAGATAAAGCTGCTGAAAATGGTCACCTTGAAATGTTAAAATATTTACATTCTATTGGATATAAATAAGAAGCAAGAAAAGTCACGTGACGTCATTTTAAGAATTTTTCATAATATTTCATAACAAGAAATAAAAATTAACACTTATTTTAAAAAATCAATTTTTTAAAATAAAAAATTATTTCTTGTTGAAATAATTTATACACAATATGGTTCAATGTTAACCCAATATTAATATTAATTTATGGTTGAAAATTTGGTTGAAAATGAAAAATCCCTCTGAATTGGCAATCTCTTACTACTTACATAAACTATAGGTAAAAGTATTAAAAAAAAACAAAGCACATTTAAGTATTTTCTTGCATCGTTCTTGGAATGTTTTCCTCCATCAGCGTTCTAAATACTTCTCTTTGTTCCTTTAAATTCCAGTGTTGGAACGATTGTTTTAAGATCGCCGCAACATTGGCCTCCAATGCTTCCTGAGGGCGTGCAATTATAATTTTCTTACCCTCGATCATAAATTGGAGCATGTTTATATCAGCTTTCTTACACATTATCATTACCTCACCCACAAATGATCGTTGATTCATTAAAGGCATCTGAGTCTGTATAATCGAGTAACATATGGGGTTGTTTAAAAGCCTGATAAATAGATTTAACTTGTTGCAAAAAAGAATGTCTGACACAGCGTCTACTTTGAAATAAGAATGTAGATAATTTCTACTTTGCTTTGAAATATTAAAGAAGGATTTTAAGACAGATCGTCCAGCTATATCAATGCTATTTAGAAACTTATTGCTGCTTCCACACAGTTCTAATCCGTATAACAACGTTGGAACAGCTAAAGAATTAAATAAATGAACTATGGTAGCAGGCTGGCAAAAGCGAAGTCCATTTCTTATAAGACCTTTTGCAACAGATAAAAATTGCGTTACACGTTCAGTTATATTTTGTTTTTGGAGTGTTGCTGTCATTTTTTTGTTCTTATTATCCCAAAGGAAACCAAGATGTTTTAGATTGTTTTGAGGCTTGATAGGATCACCGTTAATATAAATAACGTTAATTAAAATCGAACTTATTCCAGATATTAGAAATTCAGTTTTTTCTGTATTCAGTTTAATAAAGTTCGATAGTCCATACTTTTGAACAATGTTAATAAGGCTCTGAAGACCAGATATAGTGGAACTTTGTAAAACTATATCATCAGCATATGCAATGATACCTGTGTATACACCATTTATTGAAGTTCCAACTTTTGATTCTGAAACAATTTTCTCTAGAAGGTTCTCTGTGTAGATATTGTAGAGATGAGGCGACAGTATGGATCCTTGACGCACTCCCTGAGACAGCCTAAATTTGTTTGATGTACATCCAAGATATGATATATTAGAAGTTCCTGTTTGATATAGTGATAATATTGTATGAACTATAGATAATGGGATTTTTTTCTGGTAATAGAGTTTCTCGAATAGTAATTCCCAATTACAACTGTCAAAAGCTTTGTTGGCGTCTAGACTGCATATATATAGCGGTGAGTTATTATGATTATAGTGCTTTATTGTTTCACTTAGAAGAAATTCTGCGTGGAGGGTAGAGCTGTTTTCTTTAAAACCGAATTGATGGGAATGACTTTCTGTTATATCTGGACATATGTGTATGATAAGATATTCGAGAAGTTTTGTAAAAATTGGTATAATGCTGATTCCTCGATAGTTATTTGGATTTTCTAGTTATGTTTTATAAGACTTGACTAATGGGATAATTTTGGCGGTTGATAAACCGTGTGGAACCTTTCCATTTGTTAACATATTGTTATAAAACGACGAAAGTAAAATAAGAAGATTCTTGTTGTGAGAGTTTTTAAGATGTTCAGCACTGATTTCATAGCAATCGTAAGATTTATTATTTTTAAGCTTTAAAATACATTTTTCAATATCAGCTGTCGAGATAACTTTTGAATTAGGCTCTTTACTTAAATGTGGAATTTGGAGAGGATTGAACTCGTTATTTGTATATTGCGGTGTATTAAGTAGTTTTTGGAAATGATGACTAAATTCTTCGACGATTTCGTTTTTGTTCTGCAATTTATTAATTGTAAAGAGTCGATTGTTAGTATTTTTTTTGATTTTTCAAATATTACCCCAAAACCTTTGAGGATTTGTATTGCGTAAGTGTTCTATATTTTTAGTTTTTTCGTGAATTTTTTTGTTATGTGCCGCTTTTACAGCTTTACGAAAGTTTTTTCGGGAATAAATAAATCTTTTGTAGGATATACATTCTGTTGACTTATTATAACCTGATTTTTGCCATTGTCTAAAGTGAAAGGAGAGATTATCTTTAATTTTTTTAAGCTCAGGTGTCCACCAAGGTTTCGAGTACTTATAAAATTCTTTTTGTCCGAAACATTGTTTAACTGCCAAGAGAGCTGCATTTTTTATATATAAGCATGTTTTTTGAATTTCTTCTTCTATTTTATCTTCCTTAAATGCGTAACTAGTAAATGCTTTTGATAGATTGAGATTATAAAAGTCAATAAACCTTTCGTTATTCCATGCATGTTTTGGTATTGAATTATATTTTTGCATTATATTATTTATTTCGTGTGATAAGCCGGTACCTTCAAAGTTAATATTCGTAGACACCGGAAGGTGATCACTAAGGTTAAGCGGTGAAGATTGCATAACTTGACAGTTTGTAAAACATAGTTCTGTCTGTTTATAGGATGCAATATGGTCAATGTAAGAAGAATTAGAAAGAGTTTTATGTTGATAGGTATAAGTAGGCCCAGCACCGTTGATTATATCGACAAAAGCGAGCTGATTTGATTCAATAAAATTAGTGAGATGTTTTGAGAAATTGTTCCTAGTTTTGTTTTTACGAAGCTCTGAATCATATATTTTATATGGAAATGACTGAAAGTCTCCGGAAATAATACATTCTCCTTCATCCTCATAGTTGTTCATTATTGAAGTGATTGTTTGTAACTGAGAAGAGTATTTTGCGTATGATTCGTTATTATTACGACAAGATGAAAGGTAAACACCAATAAAAATTAAGTTACGATTGTTAAGTGTGCCTTTAATAGCAAGAATGTTTTCATCTTCATGTATTATGTAAAAAGACGACAGTTTTTTTCGTACCATAAAAGCATTTCCTCCATATGGTCTACCGTGTGTATTTTTTTCTGCCGCATGAAAAAAAACTTTGTGTGTTAGTAATGCAATGTTATTTAACAAAAAACTCTCAATATTTAAAAGCCAATGTTCTGATATAAAAATAATATCGAAAGACTTTAACAACTTAGAAATATAATATGAATTCGATTTAAAGCTTTGACAGTTATATGCACATAGCGTAATATTTGTGTTAGTTACATTTAATTCTTTTTCTCCCATTATGATTTCAATTTTTATTGTTGCATAAATGCTGAAGAGTGGTGTAAGAATTGTGGCAAATGATTTTCGGTATTTTGATGTGGTTTTTCGATTGTTAGTGCTTCTCGCCGCATTCTAAACGGTTTAACAATAATGTTGTTATCCCAAACATCGGGTTTAAGTACCATTCCTTTTTCAGTACTATTAATTTTTACTTTGAAAGAGCGGTTGTACATGTTTTCTCTATTAAGCTTTATGTCTAAAGGAGTAATACCTATTTCTTTATTCATGTAGTTTGATAGATCTTCTTCGGATATGGAATTACAAACTCCGCCTACAAATATATATGATTCTCGAATAATACGTTTGCCCGCAATCGAGCTTCTGTTGCTAGCGACTTTGTTTCCGAAAACGGGTTCTTTTTTTTGCTTATCCATATGGCTCTTATTAACTTTATTATTTTTTCCTACCACTTTGAATTCTTGATAGTCTGTTACACAGTCTTTTTCTTTTTCTGGTTTCCGGTTATTTTGTTCCGGGTTTTGCATTTTAACCACGGTAGCGTAGGAATCTCTAATTTTATTTTTTCTATCGGTATATAAACTTGAAATCTCTGTGCTGGAGTGTGCAGTAACTTCTTCCAGCGTATTTCTTTGATTTGGGGAATGATATTTTATTGAATTTGAAACAATAGATTTTATATTTTCTTGCGATTTATGAGGTTCACAATTACTTGTGTTGTTAAATTGTGACGCACATTGATTTTTCACGATTTCGTTATTTGTTTTTTGTAGTTCGTCGTATTTTACCTGTAATAAATGCAAATCTGCCATAATTTTTTTATTTTCTAATTGTAATGCTTTTAACCGATCAATAACTTCTTTTAAAATCAATGCCATATTTATATCTGGCGGTTGATACATTTGTTGACTAGCTTGTTTGGAGTTAGAAATCAATTTAATAAAGTCTTTATGAAGTTGATTTTCCGCTAAAGAAATCGACATCAGATAAATATCATCAAGACATGTTAATATCTTATACCGTTTTCTCAGATTTTTTTTAACGGGATCTTCCGCGTCTAGAATAATGTTTAGCAGTGAGAACTGCTCTATGTCAAAACGTTCCAATATTTCTTGAAATAATTCCACTCTTAATTTGAAAACTTCCGCCTCCTTAAATTGAGAAAACCCATAGATGATTACATCCCTTGGATGTGAGCAGATTTCCTCTACATTTATAATATAGTTCTCTAAAATATTGTTACTTGACTGTATTGTTAAAAACAACTCACCAATTTCTCTTGGCGCCATATAGCATAAAGTTTAAATACATCGAGATTAAAATCTTTTTTTTTTTTTTTTTTTTTTTTTTTTTTTTTGCTGAAGTAAATTTCTTAATAAAAAACACGTCCGTTCGCACCAAATTATGCGCAAAAAAAAAAAAAAAAAAAAAAAAAAAAAAAAAAAAAAAAAAAAAAAAGCGTTTATAGTTTTATGTACAATTTGTTATAAAACTGGCTTTATAACATATTGTACTTTTCCGTGCTTTTAAAATGCTTTTAATTATAAATTATTTTTTTTTTACTTATTTATATGCTCATAAAACATTTATAATAACTCTAAATTTTGAGACCTAATATTTTCAAAAACAAATATAGAGCAAAACTTGTAAGTATTACTTAGAAAAACAAACATT